ACTGGCGACCCCCAGGGGGAGAGCCTTCTCTGTGGCAGCTCCTGCCCTCTGGAATGACCTACCCCCCGACTTATGTACAACTGCGGACCTGCGCCTCTTTCGCTGAGCCTTGAAAACCCATCTATTCCATGCAGCCGGCCTGGCGTAGTTTTAATTGTGTTTTGTAGGGGTTTTTATAAGAGGTATTTTAGAGCAGGCTTTTTATTTAATATTTATTGTGATTTTTATTATCGCCTGTTCACCGCCCTGAGTCCCGTAAGGGAGATAGGGCGGTATATAAATTTAAATAATAAATAAATAAATAAATAGCTATTATCTAAAATATCCATTATTATTGCCAAAACTGTAATTAATTAGAAAAGTCTTAAGGTAACATGGATAATATTTTATATATTTCTTTCACTAATTTAATTGAAATTGTAATTAGGAATTTTATTTTTGGACACTTGAAATGTCTATCATAAAACAAATAAAATAGCAGAAAGAAAGATATCTAATAGTTTTCCAGTTTTAACTGTAGAATTTGGCTTTCCCCCATTTTTCCCCCCCATCTTCTGTTTCACGTGAAGAAACAAACATTCAGTAGAAGCCAAGGAGAACAGAAGCAGATTTCATACAGCACAGTTACATACACCTTGTAAAACTGCAATATTGGCTTATTTTCAGCATCTGCACTGAAAACAGAATTACCTGTTTGTCCTTTTGTTGTTTTCTATCTCCAGATGGCCACAGCCTCCAAGAATCATTATCAATGACATCAGCAAGAACAATTTCTTTTGTGGCTACATTAACACCAAACTCAACCTAAAAATGGAAACACAACACAAGAAAGAAAAGATTAGCTGAATTCAATAATGTCATTCCTTACTTTAAAAAAAAACCAAGATCTAAAATATAAATGTATCTACCTTCAAATCCACCAGCGTACAATTCTGGGGTTGCCATGCTTTTTCAAGTATTTCAAAAATGGCTCGGGTGGATTGTGCCATGATATCTACTTCCGTTTGTCCAATTTCAAGTCCGGCCAGCTTAAACTTAACTTCAACGAGTTGCTCTTCAGACCACTGTGGATCATTTGCTGCATCATCCTGTAATAAAAAGTGAGATTTTGTTGGAACAACTGATATCGTCATTCGTGATAAAGCTCAATTTCTCCATTCCATACAGAAGCAAGCTAGACAGTTTTCATTGCACGTTTAGTTGAGGGTGTAAGTGACTGTTTGGGGTGGATGGGCCTTTCTGATACGACTTTTTTCTTCTTTTCTGCTTTATATAACCAGTAGACATCACAATAATGCCATCGTTCTAATGATGTGATCTGAGAATTGTTTGCAGAATGATATGATGATGTGTGATGCTACTTGCTCTCTTGTGACCGCCACTTGACAGATGGCCAGACTAGAAAGAGATCATTTCTGCTAGAGGTCTAAAAGTCAGAATGCATTCAGGCTGAGAAATAAGTTGCCTATCCAAGTTTTCACCGAACACAAACGTTTTTGAAGCTAACAAACATTTTTGAAGTTATTACAGACAATTCTAGACCAGAAATTCCATTGCTAAATAAGGCAGCTAAATGAGTCACGCCCATCTTGCCTTTTTTGAGTCATGCCCATCTTTGCCTTAACAACTGCTAAGGAAATCACTGCAGTTGTTAACTGAACCATGCAGTCATTAAATGAATCAACTTTCCTCATTGACTTTGCTTCTCAGAATCTGACTAGGCAGATTGCAAATGGCCTTTGTGTGACCCCGGGAGACTGCAACCATAGTAACTCCATGCCAGTTGCCAAGCTCCCAAATTTGGGTATGCTGTGATGGTCATGGTTTTCCCAGTGGCAACGTATGGCTGTGAAAGCTGGACCATAAGAAAGGCTGAGCGCCAAAGAATTGAGGCCTTTGAACTATGGTGCTGGAGAAGACGCCTGCGAGTCCCCTGGACTGCAAGGCGACCAAACCGGTCAGTCCTAGAGGAGATCAACCCTGACTGCTCTTTAGAAGGCCAGATCCTGAAGTTGAAACTCAAGTACTTTGGCCACCTAATGAGAAGGAAGGACTCACTGGAGAAGGGCCCAATGCTGGGAAAGATTGAAGGCAATAGAAGAAGGGGACGACAGAGAATGAGGTGGCTGGATGGAGTCACTGAAGCAGTAGGCGTGAGCTTAAATGGACTCCAGAAGATGGTAGAGGACAGGAAGGGCTGGAGGAATGTTGTCCATGGGGTCACGATGGGTCGGATACGACTTCGCAACTAACAACAACAACTTTGAACAGTTACTAAATGAATGTTTGTAAGTTGAGGACTCCTTATACACAAACACTGGTTCCCAGTTGACATGATACCCATGATTAGCATCTTGGGCATATAACACATTTTAACAAAATGTTTTTATATATATATAAAACAGAGTCTAAGAATCAAGACTGCTTTTAAGGATCACCTATATATTGCAAAATTCTATCAGTACTGAGCGACAGTATTTGGGGGAGAGGAATTATTTTGGGAAGGCCTGGATCAGGATGTTTAACTGAAGCACGTAATTAGCCTGAGGTTCAAGCTTACAAAAATGTGGTAATTGTTAAAATTATACAAAACCGTCATCTCCATTACAGCCAATCATGTTTGTGCGACCTACCTTATAAAACATCTCAATTTTAGGTGGATAAAACTTGTAGCCCTCTTCAACACCAGGATTTCTCTTCAGAAAAGATCCAGTAGCGATTCTCCTACAAACCCATTCAATCGGAATCATTTCGCAGTGAGCAGCTATAAATGCTGTATCGTTGTGTTTTCTCACAAAAGCGGTTTTGATACCTGTAAAGGAACTGTCTTGATCAAAATGGTCGCCTGGATCTTAGTTGCTAATAAGCAAAATAGGCAACCTACAGTCTGAAACAGAAATAAACAAGTGAAGAATTTTTCTGGGAATTTCCAGCAGACTGCTTTGATCTTCATCCAGATCAGAAAAACCTACCACTGCTTTTTTATGAAAATCCCAAGCATGATATTTCACCTACAGTACATCTAAGCAATCCATTAGTTTCAAACTCCCAGAATAGGAATTGCTTTTACAGGTAGTCCTCGATTTACGACCCCAGTTGAGCCCAACATTTCTGTTGTTCAATGAATCTTGCCACTTTTCCTGCCATAGTTGTTAAGTGAACCATCATAGTTGGCAAGTTAGTAACACAGTTGTTAAGTGAATCTGGCTTCCTCACTGATTTTGCTTGTCAATAGGTTGGAAAAGATGATCATATGATCTTGGGACATAGCAACAATTATGAGGCGGTGGCCAAGCATCTGAATTTTGATCACATGATCAAGAGGTCATAAGCTGCAATGGTCATAAGTGTGAAAAAACGATCATAAGTCACATTTTTCAGTGCCGTTGTTAACTTTGAACGGTCACTAAATGAACTGTTTTAAGTCAAGGATTACCTGTATTATATCAGACTGGGAAAATTTTATAAACCCAAGAGTGGGGGGTGACTAAAACTTAAAAATATATCTGCTTAGATTTAGAGACGTAGTAGAGCATAACTTAATTAAAAAATAAACTTCCATAAAAATCTAAGGTCATGATTTCTTGAACTTAAAGCTATTAACAAAAACTTCTCTAACTTTAGGGGGGCTTAGGAAGGAAAAAGTGTGATGGCACAGCTGGTCTTGGATTTAGAAAAGGTTCAAATCAGTCCTAAGTAACAATGTGATTTTAACCAATTATTGTAAACATTAATATTAATCAACTTGCCAAGAACAGTGTAGACAATTTCTAGGTGTCCAACTGGGGGAAATCTCACTTTTTCTATGTCTTTAAATGACCTGGCCTATTATATTTTTCAATTTGCCTCCTCTGTATGATATTGTTGGTTGTTTTATCTATTTTTATTATTTTTTTATGTGTTACTGCTTGAGTTCATGCTTTGTGGTAATCTATTATTTGCTCATTCACTATCAATCATGCAGGTGGCAGCCTCTTGGCTAAGCTCCCAAATTAAGCAGAGTCAGCCCTGGTTGGCATTTGGCTGGGTGGGAGAGAACTTCAAGGAACCACAGGACTACAGATTAAACTACAAAGCAATGGCAAACCATGTCCATTCTGATGCAGCAAAACAATTTTAATAGCTCCAGGAAATCAGCAGGAAAGGAAACTTCACTTTTTTTTAGGAATTGCAGTCCTATTACCAAAACTGTGTTAGTATACAAAAAGAGACTAATGGTTTGATATGAGTGGATACTCAAAATCAGTAGGCACAGATTTTTTTCTCTTTTTTTTGTGCTAAATGCACCCCTACATTTTTTAACGAGGCAGGAAGGCACTAGTAAGCTAAAGGTTTGCCACAGAGTATTATAAAGTAAATGTTTCAACACTCCATGGGGGGGAAAGGTTGGGACGCAGGAAAGGACTCCATCATGTTAATTTTTAATCCTTAAACTTACTCAAAGCAGCATTTCTTCATAACACATTAATGTGAGGCAAGGTTTGGAAGTACAACTCAATAAACTGGTGCAAATCTGTTTTTGGTAATCAGTAGCCTTGCAAGGTGTATTTTTTATATGCAATTTTTGACACACAATGCAAGGATTATAATTTCAAGCAAAGGATAACCCTTCATCGCTGAGGGGGTAAAAATTCTAATAACTCACCCTTGAGGGTTTTAATCCAAGTTATTAAAGCATGTGCAATGTAAATAGGAAACAAATCGTAGCATAGGTCAGTGGTGGCAAACCTATGGCACGGGTGCCAGAGGCGGCACTCGGAGCCCTCTCTGTGGGCACATGTGCCGTTGCCCCAGCCTCACCTCCCCCCACGACCCCCTCCTCTCCAGCGGCCCCCCTGGAGAGTCGCCCCTGAGCGTGGCCCACGCGGAGCAGCGCAGCCAAGGACATGGCAGCCAGGCAGTGTAGACAAGACTCTGCCCTCACACTCCATTGTGCACAGCTGATGCTGCAGGGCACGGGCAGAGGACGTGACCGCCATAGCGCTGCTGGGCTGCCTGGACAATCTGCAGCGGGCCCTGGAGGCGGTGAGTGGCCCTGCGGGCAGGCGGGGCGGGGCCAGTTTTTGGGTATTCGGTCCCTAAAAGGTTCACCATGGCATAGGTCATAAGAAATCATACTTGATTTCAAGTCCTGGGTTAGCCATGAAAACCAGCTGGGTGACCTGGGACCAGTCTCTCTCTCTCTCAGCCCAACTTACCTCACATGGGTTTTGTTGTGGTGAAAATAGGAGCAGGAGGGCATGTTGGATGTGTTTGCCACCTTGAGTTATTTGCAACAATAATAAAGGTGGGATATGAATGAATGCACTGGCAGGGAAATGCATACATAAAATTATTAGGTGCTATTGAACCATTTTTTCAAAGTTTCTACAATAGAAACATAACCAGGTCTTGTTTTCAGGATGTTTATAGAATTAGCATGAGCTATGACTGTCCTCTAAGTGGTGTCAAAGAGGAGCTATTGATATAAAGCTGCAAGCTGACTTCTCAGCCCTATCCAGCTTCTCCAACTAGCCAGATAATTCAGTCATGGAACAATCCCAAAATTCAGAAGGGTCTTTTCTTTAGCCAGATTCAATGCCCTTCCAACAGCCATTACAGAAGGAAGATGCAAAACAATCCTCTTCAAACAGACTGTGTTCATGCAGTGGTGGAATAATTGCTCTATTGTTCTCTCTATGCAGTAGAGAGCCAGGAATTATTATTTCCACTTTTACTAAATATCCTAGTTATTCCAATTTGTTTTATGTCCAAATGCTGTTATCTGTCTAGGACTATAAATTTGGAAAAACCCAACTTAGTTTAAAGCAGTCAGTAATAAACACCTAAAATGTTTTTCCCCCAATCCATTTGGCTTGAAGTGAGAAGTATATGTTAAATTCCACTGCTCATGTTTCCAAGGCTTCTTCCAATGGCTGCCAATGTTACTTAATGATATAAGGGACAAATATTTAATGTGACTCATCTATGGAGAAACTAACTTGTATTTTTTTTAATGTGAAAAAAGTATTACTGTTGTGTTGTTGAAAGTCCTATGCTCCTTAAGCATATAGTCACAGGATCTCTTAATTATAATAAGAAAAATTAGCATGCAAGTTTCCTATATAGCAAAAATAGTTTCCATATAGTGAGGCCATTATTGCTTTATACACAGGGTTAGTCTTCTGCATGAGGGTTAACTTTCCCACCACCTACCAGATTCTTGAAGCAACTGGAACACACAAGATGTTGTTGTATTTGAGATTGCAGCCTTCCCTTCCATGATGTTCTTTCTAGCTGCATTTCCAGCAGTTATTTGGTCTTTTGATTGCAGCAGAACACATCCTGGGTAATTCAGCAATTCATAAACTTCTTTTGTTTTTCCCTCATTTAGTTTTTTGCCTAGTTTAAGTTCTGGAGAAATAATTGAGGGAGATATTTACATCATGAACATATATGAAAACAAGGCACTGAATTTTAAAGTTTGTAGAACAAATTTGTGCATGCTTACTAAGACATTTCTATTATATTTAGGGCATCTGAAATTTGGGAAGCCTTCTAACTGTCCGCAATTTAACATTTTGTTTGAATATCAAAGACCACCACTCATTCATTTTGTTCACCAAATGTCTTTTTTCTTTTTTGCTTTGGCTTGCTAATAAGTGATGTATAAACCATGTCTTTATTCTCAGAATGTGTTCTCCTGTCAAACCTAGCCATTTTTTTTAAAAAAAGACACATTATGTCTTAGCATGAGCCGTGAATTTTGTAAAAGGCTTGTTCTGATGTTGCTTTTAACTGATAGATAGAAAGAGAATCATGTCGCGCTATAAGAAGCCTGGTGAGAAGGAAACAGAGTTGAAGTCTTTTTAGTTCCTATGGTAACAAATGGGTTGCTGAATGCAATTTATCAAATAATCCAGATAGCCATGGAGAGCAACCATTCTATTCTTTCCTCGTGTGGTCTGTTCAGTTTCCAGGCTGTGATAATTCTCCACTTACACTTATGAAGAAAAATAAAGTCTATATTAATCTTTAGCTTTCTGCCCTGGTTCTAACTCTTGGGAGACAAAATGAAAATATCTTCCTAAATTTCTTCTATTTACACAAGGACAGTTCACCCACTGAACTGTGACTTTTGCCTATCAGTTATCCCTTCCCCTCAAAACGAAACCTCAGCTCTTTTTTCCGTTGAACCAAGCAAAGATGGCTGTAATCACTGTACATTGTACTCTCCTTGCAAGGACATTTTAGGGAACCATCCTTGATTGTTTTAAGGCAAGAAGACATTCAACCTCACCTCTCTTAAGAGGTTGAATTCTCAGAAGTTTTTATTGATTTGGGGCCTCGCTTCACATTTCAGGGTAACGAGGAGTTGCACTGAGCAAAGTGATATACTGAGCAAAGTGATATTCTAAAGTTGACCAGAATCTTTATACAGAGCTGATCTTTAAAAAAGGGAGGATGGTTGGCTCTCTATACTTTTTTAATGAACACATTGTTACCTAGTTATCATATATGACTAAGGATAATCCTGTAAAAAACTTAAAAGGGGAAAATGTTGTGAATTTTTAACTGACTTAAGATATTGCTTTAACATTAGCTGTTTGAAATCTTCACTTAAATTTCTCCAGTCTTTTTGAGAAGCTGTCCATCCAAATCTTAAACTGATATATACAAAGTCTGATACTGGGAGAATATGCATAAGAGAACCAAATTCGGTTGTTCTGATAGATCCCGCATATATATTGCAGGTGATCTGAATTTGAAGTTTCATATTGCTAAAATTGCAAATTGTACATAATGGGGAGACGTTATTAGGCTGCAAAATTTTCAGAACTACAAGGGGAAAGTCCAACAAAAACTTTACAACTTTGCCTATTGGATCCTGAATATGGTATAACAAATTAGATGGCTATATTAACTAATGAGGCAGTAGAGGCAGAAGCACCAATCACCCTTTGAGTGAATATAAAACACAGGTAGTCCACAGCTGAGCCCAGAATTTACGTTGCTAAGCGAGAAATTTGTTAAGTGAGTTTTGCCCCATTTTACAATTTTTCTTGCCACATTTGTTAAGTGAATCACTGCTAAATTAGTAACATGATCGTTAAGAGAATCTGGCTTCCCCATTGACCTTGTCAGGTCACAAAAGATAATCACATGACCCCAGGACACTGCAACTACCATAAATATGAAGCAGTTATCAAGCATCCGAATGTAAAATACATGACCGTGGGGATGCTACAACGGTCGTAAGTGTGAAAAATGGCCATAAGTCGCTTTTCAGTCCCGCTGTAATTTTGAATGGTCACTCAATGGGCTGTCAAGGACTACCTGTACATAGCAAGTTTCCCTCCATTCTGCGTAATGCATTCAATCCAAAACTCAAATGGAGAATTCAGCGCTCGCTGCACATCTTTCCCATAAGATATTTGGATGGCTTAATCCAGTGGTGGCGAACCTTTTAGAGACGGAGTGCCCAAACAGCAACCCAAAACCCACTTAGGCATCGAGTGCCGGGTGGGTGTGGCCCATTGGGTGGGCGTGGCCGCGGTGGTAACGGCAGACTGGGTGGGACTAAAAAGTTCAATCAATCAATTTTGCAAGATCTTTTTTTCCCCGCAAGAAGTTGAAATTGACTGATTGAACCTTTTTTTTTTTTTTTTTTGTGGAGGCCTAAAGCAAAAAGGAGAGCGCAAAGGGTTTCAACCCAGCGCTGCTCGCTGCCATCTCCAGGCACTGCCACGTCCACTATCCAGACTTTTTTGTCTTTATCGACAATTGTTAAGTCTGGGGTGTTATGTTGCAGGTGCTTGTCTCTTTGAATTCTGAATTATTATTATTATTATTATTATTGAACTGCACCTCTTATCTAGGACAAGGAGAGCGCAAAGGGTTGCTGCCGTCTCCAGGCACTGCCACGTCCACTATCCAGACTTTTTTGTCTTTCTTATCGACAATTGTTAAGTCCGGGGTGTTACGTTGCAGGTGCTTGTCTGTTTGAATTCTGAATTATTATTATTATTATTATTGACCTGCGCCTCTTATCTAGGACAAGGAGAGCGCGAAGGGTTGCTGCCGTCTCCAGGCACTGCCACGTCCACTATCCAGACTTTTTTGTCTTTTTTTATCGACAATTGTTAAGTCCGGGGTGTTACGTTGCAGGTGCTTGTCTGTTTGAATTCTGAATTATTATTATTATTATTATTATTATTATTATTATTATTATTATTATTATTATTATTGACCTAAGCCTCTTATCTAGGACAAGGAGAGCGCGAAGGGTTCCGACCCAGCGCCGCTCGCTTTCTCCTCAAAGAGTTTCTTTCCTCAAAAGAGTTTCTTCCCAACTTCGGCAGCCTCCCAAAGGCGAACCCCGCAAAGGGCGGCGAGGAAGCGGCGGCTCTCTCAGGCGCCTCACGTCGGAACAGGCAGGAGGGAGGCGGCCAACTCGAGTCCGGGCCAGCGGCGCCATCCTTCCGCGGAGCCCGCCGGGGCGAGCGAGCGAGCGAACCAAAGCCACTCACCTGAATGTATCGGAGGCATGGCGGCCAGAGGAGCGGAGGAGGAGGAGGAGGAGGTCCGGGACGCCTAAAAAAAAAGTTAAAAAAAAAAAATTAAAAATGCAGAAAAAGGCGAAACGCGCGTGAAGAGGAGAAGCCAGGCGCGACGCCGCCCGTCAGGAAAGTTCCGAAGAAGGCGTGGGGAAGGGGCGCGCGCGCGAAGCGAAGAGACCCAGAGCCACTTCGGGGTCTCGAACTGGCGGCGGAGCTGCGTAAGAAGAAGGGCACACGGCGGAAGGGGCCGGCGGAGCGGGGGGCGCGGGGGGGCGGGGAGAAGAGGGTGGAGATTAGCCGCGGAGCCCACCAATGGCCGCGGCAAGCGTTTCTCTCCCCCCCCCCACATCCCCGACCTCCCCTTTCCGAGCGGGGGGGGGGAAAGGAGATGGGTCCGCTACCTCGGCCTTCCCAATCTGCGAGGGGCTTCCAACCTCCGCCCCTCCGCCTTTCCGACCCCCGCCCCCTCCCCGCCTGCGGGCAGCGCCGCAAGAGTAACGCGGGAAGCGAAGTTGCGTCCGTTCCCCCCGCCCTTCCCGCGCGCGCCGTTTTTTCCGAGCGTCTCGCTCCCAGAAGCTTTTCCCGCCAGAGTTCAGCCACGGTCCCGCCCTCGCTTGGCCCCCACGGGGGAGCCTCCTTTACCTCAGATGCGCGGCCCCAGCCGCTACTCTGCCAGAATTAACACCCACCCACGCACCCACCCGACCCGACCCGACCCCCCGAAGCGTGAAAAGTAAAAAGCACCACATATAATACGCGGCTGAGAGGATGAGAGTGGGGGGGGGGGTTTGTGAGGGAAGGAAAGTTCCGCTGCCAAACTTAAAAGCAGGGGTAGTCAACCTTGGCTCTTTTATGACTCGTGGACTTCAATTCCCAGAATTCCTGAGCCAGCTTAGCTGGCTCAGGAATTCTGGGAGTTGAAGTCCACGAGTCATAAAAGAGCCAAGGTTGACTACCCCTGACTTAAAAGTGTCGACGAAAGGTTGGAAAGCGAGTGGTCCACGAGGAGCGCCTGTTTTCCTGCCCTTTCCTTTCCCCCCTTCCCCTGGCCCGGGGAAGACTCGGGTGGGGGGCGGCGCTTCCTTGGCCCAGAGAAAACAACCCGGGCCGCCCCCTCCCCATGTGAGTGAGTGTGTTATGTGTGTATGTAAATAAGGCCAGGGGTGGGAGCAGGGAACTGGCGCTTGCAAAGGCCAGCCCTCCTCCTCCTTTCCCACAAACTCAGGCGGCGGCTGAGGCGACAGCAACAGGAGAAGCTGCGTGTAAGCATCCGCGCGCAGGCACGCACATACACACACACGCGCGCACACACGTGTTGCCTCGTGCGCCATGGAATTCGAGGAGTCGGGCATCGGGGAAGAGTGCGGCGTCTTCGGCTGCATCTCCGCCGGCTTGTGGCCCACCGAGCTGGACGTGCCCCATGTGATCACGTTGGGGTTGGTGGGGTTGCAGCACAGGTAGGAAATTGGGGGGCGTGGGGGGGGGACGACGGTTGGCCAGGGAAGGGCGGCTTGACGGGAAGGCCTTGGGGGGGGGACAGGCAGGGAGCGTGGAAGAAGTGGGGGGACAGTGGGAGAGTGGGGGGAATGCGGTGGGATTAAGAGTAAAGCCAGGGCTGGTTGGGTAGGGTCTGCTCTGACAATAACTAAAGCACGTGCTAAGGATGTTAAACCCCCCCCCCTCACATGCATATATGCACTCTGCGTGTCCATAAGATCCTGGCTCCAAGTCAGTTTGTGCAGGCTTTGCACCCTGAGCCCTTCCTGTTTTTTTCCCCCGATTTTCCAAGAAAACGAACATGCTTGTCGGCAAGATTAAAGCGTAACGCCGATTATGCAAAAGGATCCTAACCCTCAAACTTCTAGGATGATCAAAGTTTAAACTAGGGTTGCCAGGTGTCCACTATTTGAGTGGACAGTCCACTTAATAATAATAATAATAATAATAATAATAATAATAATAATAATAATAATAATAATAATAATAATAATAATAGTAAAGTTGGAAGGGACCTTGAAGGTCATCTAGTCCAACCCCCTGCTCAGGCAGGAAACCCTATACCATTTCGGACAAATGGCTGTCCAGTCTCTTCTTAAAAACTTCCAGTGTTGGAGCAT